ATGTTATTATCATCATGATAATCACTTGCAAATATGGCTAAGTTGGAGGTGTGGTTCGATTAAAATTTCATATGATCTCAGCACCAATTAAAACATTAATTTTTGTACATGAATTTAGAGTAAAACTCTATAACCACTCATTTTACTATGAACCATCATATTCACACATAAAATAATTAAATGCTTTTCAAACAGTGCACAAAGAAGTATTTATTTTGTAGGATTATGAAACTGCACCATTTTCACTGAACAAAATTATCAAACCCAGGACCCAAAGAGAGATCAAGGCTCTCCCTCAGTCATCACTACAAGGCAACACTGGAAGCTTCACACTTGCAGTGCTGCTTTGAGAAGATGCCTATACTGACAGCATGGACCAGTATGAACTTGCTCTCCCACTGACCTCAGGAAGCATGGGTTTCTGTCCCACCTGTCCAGGTCAGTGACCACATTCCCCCCTGAAAGCTGGTAGTGTGGACAAACTGTCCTTCCATTGGGCCTATCTGTTAAGTTTTGAACCCAGAGATTTTACATGTTTAACAACTCAGATTTTGTAATACTTCATCGTTTCTTGGTTACAGATATTTATGCTGTGATTATTAGAATGACCAACCATCATATGTGTTCTGGGAACTCCAGGCAAGTAGAAGTGTGCTGCCTCTCTAATGATAATGTAAGACCACACCTACTCCAGCTTTATTTTTATATTGTATATATCTTAGTTAAAATATAATCACATCACTTTCCCCTATCCCTTTCCTCTCTTTTTCCCCTTCCAAGATCCTTCCTTCTGACTCTTTCTTTGCTCCTTCAAACTCTTTCTCAAATTGACAGCTTCTTCTTCTTCTTTATTATTGTTACATATATGTATATGTATATGTATATGTGTATACACAAATATTTAAACTCACCTACTAAGTTCATTTTTGTTGTTTGTGTATATACTATTTCAGAATTGATCACTTTGTATTGGATAACCAATTAGGGGTTCATCCCTGGTAGTGATCAATTCTCCTTCTCTCAGAAGCTGTAGTTCTTTGACTAAGGGCCCTGTAGGATTTACCGCCTTCACAGTTAATATGTCTATTGATATTACCATTCTTCCAACCTTTTTTGAGCTTGCATGTCTATGAGAGTCTATGAGAAACCAGCAGACTTCCTGGTATTCTGGCTCAGTTTTTCCCAGTCCTTTTGTGTGTGTACCTGAGCCACAGACACAGAAACAGTGATATAGATGCAGTCATTGGGATTTGACCCCCCCCCATATCCATTGATCTCTTCATTATGTCCAGCTGTGGTTTTGTGTATGTATGGGGGTGGTGTGTGTGTGACATCTCTATCTGCTGTAAAGAAAAACTTCTTTAATGAGGTGTGGTGGGTACACTTATCTGTAGGTATAAGGGTAACATTTAGAATATAGTTAGGAATTAAGCTGGCCTAGCAAAGTGACAAAACTAAATTTTCTTCTGAGATCCATGACCTCACTAGCCTCAGGAAGTTGGTTATGTTTCTAGTACCAATATGATTTTCCTCTTGTTGAGTGGGCCTTAAGTCTAATTAGACAGCTGTTGTTTACCACCAAAATGTGAGTGTAGACAGAAGTTTCTGTCCTACCTGTTCCTGCATCCATCCATTCCCAAAAAACCACAAGAGATTTATAATAATTATAAATAATTTGGCCATTACCTCAGGCTTATTATTAATTATCTCTTACAACTTAAATTAACCCATAATTCTTACCTATGTTTAGTCACATGGCCTGGTACCTTTTCTCAGTACAACATTTTAATCTTGCTTCCTCTACATCTGGATGGCAACTGTGTCTGAGCCTTTCCTCTTCCCAGAATTTTCCTGGTCTGGTCACCTCACCTATACTTCCTGCCTGGCTAATGGTCAGTCAGCATTTTATTAAACCAATACAAGTGACAAATCTTTACAGGGTACAAGAGCATTATCCCAAGGACTTCCACTTTTTTCTTTTCCAAAGAACTCTGAATCTAATCTCCTTTGTTTACTTTTTTCTTGACCATTATCCACAACAACTTGTAACCAACACTCTAAACAAAGAAAAATATCCATAATCCATTTTGTGGGAATGTGGGCATAGTTTTTAGGCTACTTCATGCTGATTGGGGATGTTGATAATCTTGTGGGGACCTAAAGAAAAATTAGGAATATGGTCAAGTCCTGACTAGAATATTCTGTGAGCCTGTATCATCTCAGTCAGCAGTCTTGAGGCCATTCTGGATGTAGAACTCAGAGGAAACTTCAACAGAGATGCTCAGAAATGTTGAATCATCTGGGCCATCTGTTCCCATTGGAGATTTTCCAGTGGGTCTTTCTTGACCAAACCTTATTTTTCTTAAACAAGAATATAGCCACAGTCTCTCATTTCCTATGGAAACAAAAGCAAAATTTCTTCAAAGTAACATATCTTTTGACTTAAAATTTGAAGTTAAGGCATTTTCAAAATATATATATTGGATTAATCCAGCAGTACTTATAACCAAATGTCTTTTAAAAGCTGTTGCTCCTTCATCAGCTTTCTACAAATTCAAAGACAACACAATAACATACAGTATCCAGACTCACTGTGTATTTTCCATCTTTACATTTTTTTTACTCTATTTCTTTTATTTTTATTTTTGTTTTTTTTTTTTTTTGAGACAGGGTTTCTCTGTGTATCTTTGGTTGTTCTGGAACTCACTTTGTAAACAAGACTGGCCTAGAACTCACAGAGATCCATTTGCTGCTGTCTCCCAAATACTGGGATAACATACAGGTATGTGATCCTTCTAAGTGCTGGGATTAAAGGCATGTGTCACCACACCCCACTATTCTATCTCTTTTTTAAGTATTTCTCTATCTTGTTTTCTTTTCTCTTCCAAGCCTATGTATATTTTCTAACACACTATAAAACATTTAGAGGTTTTTTTCTTTTTTCTTTTCCTCTGAATCAGCCTTTACTGTATATCTCTGAGTCTTTAGTCTGCTAAATGACATAGCTAGGATTAAAGCCTCGACTTTGGTGGCTGGATCTGCCCCACTCCTTGGTTTTCTGACTGTCTGGCTTAATGGTGGTAGTACTGGCAGGGGCCATGTTTTTTTACCACAACTCTGTGGAGTTTCCAGGTTCATGCCACCACTAAGCATCATGATGCTGGCTGCTCATAGACATCATGTAAGTGTTTGGTGGCAGAGCCTCTTAAAAGTGTTGTGAGGTTTTTGCTGCTAATGCTGATTCAGGAAACCTTTCTTAAAGGAGCCATGCTTCTACTTGCTGCCAGCAAATAGAGCCTATCTGAGACAATGCTGCTACCAAGAAGCCATGCTTGAATCTGTTTTGTCTGTCTAGAATCTTTTTTTTAAGTTTTCTCAGTCTTTACGTAGAAATTCTTGCCAAACATTTTGGTGCCATTTGTAGATGGAAGTTTCTGTCCCACCCTCTCCCACAGTCATTCAGTACCAAAGAAACACACAGAGGCTTGTATTAATTATGAACTGTTTGGCCTATTAGGTTAGGCTTATTATTCACTAGCTCTTACAACTTAATTTAACTCATAATTCTTATCTATGTTTAGCCACATGGATTGGTACCTTTTCTCAGTATAGCATTTTCACCGTGCTTCCTCTATATCTGGGTTGCAGCTGCAGACTGAGCCTTTCCTAGCTAGCTCAGTTGGTAGAGCATGAGACTCTTAATCTCAGGGTCATGTGTTCTAGCCCCACATTGGGTGCCATTTGTAGATGGAAATTTCTCTCCTGCCTGGTCCCATAGTCATCCAGACTCAAAGAAACACACTTGGCTTGGTACCTTTTCTCAGTGAAGCATTCTCATCTTTCTTTTGCATCTGGGTGGCAACTGCAGATTGAGCATTTCCTCTTCCCAGAATTCTCCTGGTCTGGTCATCCTGCCTATACTCCCTGCCTGGTCACTGGCCAATTAGTGTTTCATTAAACCTATATGAGTGACAAATCTTTACAGGATACAAGAGTGTTATTCTACAGCATGTGGGTGATACCATTGCATCTTTATCAATATCTGGTCATTCTGGTCCATGTTGCAGCTGTTCAAGACTATTAAATTCTTCCCTCCCTTGGAAGCTTATATAGTATTTTTGGTCTGAAAGCTATACCACAGAAACGGGGCTTTCAGTTTAGATCCATCTAGAATAATCTGATTCCTGTATTCTAAGTGTGCATTGTCTTCAGCATAGGGACTTACCTTCAGTTTCTGAGAGGCAACCACAGGCATCAGCAAACAGCAATAATTTATATTATTGGGGAGTCACATGGACTACCTTCATCAACCATTTGAAAGGAGGTTCTTTACGTACATGTTAATGGGGTTTTTATAGGCTATGATTCTTGTGGGAAGCAGTGCAAGGCCAAACCCAAGTGACACAGCTTATTTTCAGGTTTATATAAATGCCTCAGCCTGCTGGAAGACACCTGAGCACCAACCAGGTCATCCCAACCAGGCCCCACTGGCCTGGACAAGTGGGTGCCACTACAGTGAACAAATATGTAATGCAGAGGTGGGAAAGATAGGAAAATGGGGTACTATATGTGCTAGGGAGACAAGTGTCCTGCTGTCTGATGAGGGCTCTCCTTGTCTCTGGGCAATAATGAAGGTTTGAGATGAGGGAAAAAAATCACTTTCTGGACTGGACCACTTTGAAGGACCACTGTGGTCTGATATACCACAGGAGGCCATGTTGGTGTCTGTGGTCCATGCTGTTGTCTCAGACTGTAAAGGTCTGTGCTGCTGCCCCAGACTGCAATGAAGCCTGAGATCTACGTGGACATATACAGTTAGAGCTGCTGTCCGATATCTTGGTGACGTCCTTAGGCTTTCCTGCCTCTGGGAGCCATGCTGATGTTCAACCTTCTGAGACCATGTTGAGGCTCGTGGTTTGGTTCATGAAGCCCACGAGGGACACAAGTGGGTAAGTGGTCATGATACAGCCAAGGACCATGTTGATGTTCTCAGCCTTTATTACCACCAAAGCCCATACAGATGCCCATGGATGGGTCTGTGGCCTGAAGCCATATTAATGTCTGTGGGTGCAGAAGAGCTGGCTCCGCCCCTTGGTGGCAGTTATAAGGTGGCACTAGCGGTGTATGGGAGAGCTGGTGCTGTCCATCACAGACCAATGAAGGGAGAGCATCAATGATGACAGGCATGGAAGAGCAGACCCCACCCCTCACAAGAGAGAGTTGGTCCTGCCCCTCACCAGCCCACAGCACTGTGGTATTAGGTGGTGGCATTGGAGGGAGATAGCTAGCTCCACCCCACTCAGGCCACTGCTTGGCTTCTTGTGCCTATGCAGGTGGAGAAAGATTCATCCTCTCTTGTGGAACTGGTCACTAGGAATTTGTCCATGCTCCAGTGAACCTATGAACCATACAAAATACAAACAGACTTAGTCAGTTAGTTAGTTGTTAGTTAGTTAGTTAGTTAGTTAGTTAGTTAGTTTTGGGGAGGAGAAGTAGGAGGAGCAGGACAACAACAACATGCGAAGATGGGGAGGTGAGCACAGTTGTGGCACATGATGTGAGATTTCCAAACAATCAATAGAAAATAATTTTAAAGAAGATTTATATAGATATGTATATATTATGTATAATTTTGGGTAAATATATAATAAGATTCCTTGAGGCTTATTCAAATAATCCTAGTGTTATCTGTCCCCGTGCATGTGAGAAATTTCAAAACAGTTCTCTCTAACATGGATGGATGGACACGGTGATACCAGAGAGCTGATAAGTATGCTGTTGATCTGGGTGCTTCGCAACTATTCGTGAGCTGAAGCTGCATGGCAGCTGTGTTAGCCAGGCACTGACAGAGCAAACAGAACTGTTATTTGTTATTATATATACACATATATACATACACCACACACATACACATGGTATTATACATGCAGTGATATAGCAAAGAATTGGTGGAGCAATGATTTGAACCCAGGTTCATAACTCCACTGCTCTCCTCTTTTCATCGTGGATAGCATATGCTTAATCCTTCACTAAGTATGAACCAACAACAACAAAAAATACTCTAGTTTTACTTTAAATGATTTTTCTAACTAGGAGCTAATCTTGCCTATTCACTATATGAGTCAGCTTCACATTGCACTAATATGTCCCTGGAATAATTCATTTATCGAAGAACATGGCTTTGGTGACTCTGGTGGGAATATTAGAGAGCATCCGAGCTGGTAAGCATACAACACCTGCTCATCTCATTGGCAGGAAACAGAGAGTGAGGACATTTCCCAGGTCCCACAGCCTCCATGGGGACTTAAGTTCCCACTCTAGACTGTCTTCTAAAGATTCCCACTACCCAGTGCAGCCACCCTGGAGACAAAGTCTTCTATACAAGAGTCTTTGAGGATCATGTACCCAGGCCACGTACTGGTCATTCAAAACAAAACAAACAAACAAACAAATAAAACAACAAAAACTTTACATGGAGTCTTGGAATAATCTTTTGAAAACTGTATGAGATTCAGCTCATCACTGCGTGTGGCTTGAATCAAGGTCATTATTCTCTGAGGATTAAAAAAAAAGTCTAACCTTTCCCAAACAGGGTAGGTAAAGTAGTGAGGTAGAAAGGGGGTCTTATGGGTTACAGAGTCTTGAAGTTGTTTGTTGAAAGTACTCTTTCATCCAAGGAAGGGAAGCATCACACATTGGTGGAGTGAGCAAGTGCGCATCTGGGTCCTATGATTAGAAATCAATCACCTAAACAGGCATAGGTCACAAGTGAGTATTCCCAAAATCCTCTATCCACCTCTCTAGACCCAAAGATACTTATTAAAGGACAAGCCTACCCAGGTCTCAGCTTTTTCCTGTTTTTGAATTTGATCCTTCCAAGTTAGAGTGTCTCACTGCTTGCCCGCACAGCATCCTACCCCAAACAGTGAGGACAATTAACTCTCTACGAGACTTCTGCCCAGCCATGATTAAAAAAAAATATTTTTAATGTTTTTGATAACTAGAAACTGACTTTTTCAAGAGAAAACAATATACAAAATGATGTAGCTGGTCCCAAAGAGCTGAAAGTGCTTTGCCCTTTAGAAAATTAGTTCTGACTTCTCTGTCTCTGTTAGATCCTGCTGGACTTCCGTAAAGCACTCTCACAGAACCATTCCAACCTCTTAACAACCCAGCGACTTAGATGTGAGCAGCTTCAGGTGGTAAGAAAAAGAAGAAATGGAAATGGGAAGGGTGTTTCCCATTATCACACTGTATTTGAAATGCAAGCGGAGCCTATTGTGCACGGTGCGCAGTACCTATAATTAGACACACACACTGAGAAAGACAGACACCTGAGATCCGGGTCACTGATGGAGGGGATCAGCAGAAAGAACAATGCTCGTGCAGAAGCTTATCTCAAGAATGACATAACAGGATGGGAAGAATCCTGTAATTAATTCTTATTCCTAACAATTCTTCATCCTCCATAAGGACATGAATAAAACCCTTAAGCCCTTGGATATCCACATCAGGATAGGCATTTTTATGCACTTTCTCTTAAATAAAGAGAATATATAATGCATGTGTAAATATCAAATTAAACATATATACATACTTAATTTTAACATATGAACAATACCTGCATACAGAGTTATGTATAAATGAATGATGCCCATGTTAAAGTCTGCTGACAACTAAAATGTCCTGCGTATTGAGTAAGCTTTACACTAATCTTCATGCTGATAGGATTAATCCACAGAGTCATGTACTGTCAAGAGATACACTCCATTAGTTACCAAGGAAAAAAATCCCATCTGCCACAGATGTAGAAGAAAAACTACCCATTTTTCAGTGTGTCTAGATAACTATCACCAGGAAGCCTTGTTGCGGTGACTACCCTCCTGTACATAAAATACACATTAAAACTGAAAATTGAAAGGCAAAGATTTGTTGTCGCTTCCACATTGCAGGGTCGGAGCAATAGTCTATAATTTGGCTGTAAAAGGGAGCTAGAAGTAAAAATAGCTTCACTAATGGAAATTGAACTCCCCCAATCCAATCACGCTTTCCTTTTTCAATCTGTCCCAAAGATGGAGTGGTATTTTGACACCCTGAAGTTGGCTCAGTTATAAACTGACCCTGTATTAAAAGATTCTTTAACTCCAATTGGAAACCATTAGAAAATGAATAGGAAGTTGAAAGAAGAAAATTCAGTTTGTTTAATTTTACTTACATATATTTCTAAACAGGATTATATTAACATGAGCTATCACATGATCAAATTGTTCCATGTACAGCAAAAGACAGTAGACTGGGGAGATGGCTCAGTCAGTTACATCCCTGCCACATAAGAGTGAGGACCTGAATTTGAATCCACAGAATACACATAAAAAGCCTGGCATGGTGGTGTGTGACTGTTATCCGCACCAGCCTTGGGGGTGAGGGAGAAGACAGAATACCTGAGGCTCACTGACCAGTCAGTCTAGCCACATGAATGAGCTTCAAGGTCAGTGTAAGACTCTGCTCAAAGAATAAAGATAGGGAACAATGGAGGAAAGACAGCAAACATCAACCCGGGGCCTCCACATGCGTGAACACACACATGCATGCATGCCCCCCCACAGGAGCTTGTACTGTGCAGTGCATGCACGCATAAACAGACACACCACACACCACAAAATAAAATTAAATTGAAATATATATATGAATATTTTTATAGACAAAGATTTTTTTTTTGGTTTTTCAAGATGGTTCACCCATTAAAGGCAAGGCTCTCAACCAAAAATATAACAGAAAGAGTTTTTTTTTTTTTTTAAATAAGAAGTAGGCCCACTTTTCTATGAAGGCTAGGTTCCCAGATCTGCTAAGAAGGAGAGCTAAGAGGGTTGATAGAGCAAATGCCAGGCTGTAAACCAGCAGGATTAAGACCCCAGAAGAGCCAACCTTTCAGTTCAAAGGAAGGGAAAGAAAAGGGAAGGAAGGAAGGAAGGAAGGAAGGAAGGAAGGAAGGAAGGAAGGAAGGAAGGAAGGAAGGAAGGAAGGAAAACTTCTGTTCAAGACCCACGGTTCAGTTCCCTCAGATTCCTGAGGTCAACACTGTGGTTCTGTTTAGGCTTCAACTGATTGCAAGAGGCCAACTCAAATAACGGAAGGTGATCTGCCTTATTCAGCTCACCAATTCTATCATTAATCACACCCAGAGATATTTTCTCAGACATACCCAGAGTGATTTGACTAGCTATCTGGGCACCCTGTGACCCAATCAGTTTGACAGAGAAAAATCAACCATCACTGATGTGAAGCATTCTATGGTCATTTCATGGTTGGGAGTCATTCATTGATAATTGATAATCCTTTTGCTTTATGCTAATAGCCAATGCACAGCGTAGTCCTTCCTTATACAATCTCTATCTTTCTCTTTCTCATGTATGTGTGCATGTGTGATGTGTGCATATGCATGTATATGTACATATGTGAGAGTGTCTCAAAGGCAAGTTGCCTATAGTCAGAGAGATAAGACATATCTATCCCTAAATTAATACCAAGTCCTGAGTTAAAGAAGCGCCAGTTTTATTTTAGAGTACATTTATTTCACAATTAATCTTCAACACAACAGGAACTGTTCTGAGGTTATGAACTATAACCTAAATCTGAATGATCTGAATATTTTTAATTTGATATATTTTCACTAAATTTTTATTAGTTTAAAAAATTCATTTATATTAAGTAAATATATATTACTATATCTTGACCATAACTCAAGTGTTCTTCAAAAATATGGGTCTAGAGAGATGTATCATTTAGTACTGTCATGCAGCCATGAATCCCTGAATCTGTATCCCCAGTATCCACAAAGAAACGAAGATGGGGTACTGTGTTGTGTGACACTATTTCTGGGGAGTCATGAACAAATGTCCACTTACTTCAGATAGGGACCCAAAAACAGATCAAAGTACAAATCTCACCAAAGTCCAGCTTGGTGACCAATGGCTTTTATTGGCATTACTTACATTCCTGTGAGAAATTCCTGGGAGGGCTTACCTTCAGGAGCAGAAATGACTCAAAAACACCTGCCTCACCAAACCCCTCTCCAGGATGGGTGACAGCTCACAAAGCTGGGAACCTGTGGCACACTGCTCAGCCTGCACGTGGCTCCAGAGTGTCCTTCCCAAGAAGTTCAGTCAGTCTGAGCCTTCTCCAGGAAACCCAGCCTGTCTGAGCCTTCTCTACAGGGCTCAGCCTGTCTCTAAGCATTTCTTAGTGGTCCTTACAGCTTGGGGAGGGGGGGGGAACTTATGCATCTAGTTGGTTTCAGGGACTTTTCTGAAGCCTTTCAGTTGTTTCCTTTTAGATGTAAGAAGATTCCATGCAGGTGGGGTGATGTTCTACTGCTCTTTAGACCATCCTACCTCCTTT